GTACAAGATGCGGTGGATGTGTGTAGGGGACTGTGATTACATTTGGGGTCTTCCAGAGCCTCTATTACTGATCTGTCAGCCTGCCCCCTAGCCATTGCGAAGAACCGTGCGTCCATTGCACCTTCCGTGTTATGTCTGAAGAGTTTTCCCCGTATTCTGATTCCTTGTCATCGGTTCTCCATGTGACAGGGGCTTGTCCAAGGCGTCTCTTTGCTTGTCACTTAAAGTTTTGTCTAAAGGTCGCAAAAAATCCTCAATTTCCATCATGCGGTGTGGCTGAGGTAGGTGACCGCATTCGGAAGTGAAGAGGTCCTGATAGAAATTTCTTGCTATTTTAGTACAAGATGCGGTGGATGTGTGTAGGGGACCGTGATTGCATTTGGGGTCTTCCAGAGCCTCTATTACTGATCTGCCAGCCTGCCCCCTGGCCATTGCAAAGAACCGTGCGTCCATTGCACCTTTCGTGTTATGTCTGAAGAGTTTTCCCCGTATTCTGATTCCTTGCCATCGGTTCTCAGAATACGGGGAAAACTCTTCAGACATAGCACGGAAGGTGCAATGGACGCACAGTTCTTCGCAATGGCTAAGGGGCAGGCTGGCAGATCAGTAATAGAGGCTCTGGAAGACCCCAAATGCAATCACGGTCCCCTACACACATCCACCGCATCTTGTACTAAAATAGCAAGAGATTTCTATCAGGACCTCTGTGTGAGTGGTCCTCTATCTTTTTTGGGGGGGATTTGGGTTTGGGATTATGGGTCTCGCTCCACTATTGTCCACTGTACAAAATTGTGGACGGTTCGTGGACAGCTATGGGAGCGTACAAAAATCGTGGAAACACGTCATGGCTCCACTTGTTGTACACTATACAACACCCGAATTCGTTTAGTTCCCTACAAGACACAAACACAACACTACAAGACAACAACCTCGATAGCATTTTGTACCGCCCAGACTCCAGGCTCGTTGTCCAAAAAGGCGGAGCATCCGTGGGCTCCTACGGGGACCGTCCACGAAAGTACTTGTGCAAGCTGGGAGCTATACAATAATGGATAGTCAATTTTCACGGTATTTTTGACAAATGTCCAAACCATTTTGCACGCCGATAATGGACAGTAAGTGGACCGACGTCCCACTGTCCATTTTCGTACAGTGGACAGTAGTGGAGCGAGGCCCTATAGGTCCCAGTGTGAGTATGCCCTCAGTATCGTAGGAAACCTTAGTGGGATCAGATCTCATGAACGAACATAGACACGACGCGATTTTGCTACACCTATAGTCACAAAGTACGAAGTACAATCTTAGGGCCTCGTTCCACTACTCGCCATCCGCCACAAACAGTGGCGAGACTTGGCGAGGCCGAAAAGTGCATTTTTCTGGCGGAAAAGGGCTCTTGGTTCCATTACATTGCCGCCGCCATGTGCGTTGTGGTTGATGTCCCGAACTGTGGCGGATGGCGGGCCAATGGAACGGCTACTCAGATTGGAAATCACTCCAGGTGCAGCGAAAACTCGCCAACACTAGGGGACAACGCAGGTCGACTGTCAGGACCGCTGTGTCAGGGGCAATGGCCACACGAAGCATTTCGCAGAGGGGTGAGGAGTAGCGCCCTCCACGAAGGGCTGTTGCAGGCAGGGGAAATGGAAAGCCTTGGCGGCACATGGCCAAGTGATTTCAGACCCAAATTCTGACAGCGTCCATTTCATGGCTATTGGTCATGCGGTGGAACGAAGTCACATCCGCCATGCGTGGCGGATGGCGGGTAGTGGAAAGAGGCCCTTAGGGCCTCGCCACACCACTCGAGAAATGTGAAAAAGACAAAAATGTAGCGGGTGCACCTGGCCATGTTCTAGCGCGAAGTTCATTCTCATTTTGCATATTTCGAAAGTGGTGTGATACTCATAGTGCTTATACTCACTTCAACCCATAAAACACAATTGACTTACCGTGAGGGCTCAAAATTGATTTGGTAAGCAGGAAGAGGGGGGTAGGGCCCGGGTAGAGGAGGGATTGATGTTCGGGGTGGTAGGTCTATTAGAAGTGCGGGGTGGGGTGACAATGGTCGGTGCTGGAGCATGTGCTCTGTAACCAAGGGGGGCATGAGACCATTGGAGCTATGTCGAGGGTGGAAGGCATAACCATCCTGTTCAACGTAGCTGATGCTGGGGTAGTGACCCTGTAACTTGGGGCTGAGTAGCTAAGGAAGGTGTTGAGGGAGGAAGACACTTCCTGTCCGTCAGAACTAGTTCGGTCAGGTACTGGGACTGTTGAGGTTGTCCTGTCACCCTAGTAAGGGGGGTATGAGATCTACCGAGTTCTGGTACGAGGACTGAAGGCCTGGGCATTAGTCTTTCTTTTGCGGGGCGGGGAACGAGTTGGATTGGGGGTGGTTTTCCTTAAACTTTTTCATAGTTTTCAGATTGTTCTGAGCCGAATGCTAGGTAATGGCCCTGGTATCTCAAATCATTTCTCGAATCATCTGTATAATTCTGTATGGGACGCTGGGCCCGGTTCCCAACACGTGCTGCTTCCCACGAATAAATTGGAGCTCTTTGTCCCAAAAAAAAAAA